GTATGATGGAAAGTTACTTCTTAACATACACCAAAAATGAAAAATCAGACAATAAATAGCGGAGCTCACTTCTCAGCCATTAGCGTTCGCTTAGCGGTATATTTCTGTATGGTTTTTATGGTTATATTCTCGTTTTTTTGGTCTCATTTGATAGAATGAAAGATATATTACAGAAATAGATATGATTTTGGTTGCTTTCATTTTGAAAAGTACCCCGAAATTGCGCTCACAGTAGCGAAAATGCTCTATTCTTTAGCGAAGCTCAAGAGTAAACAAATGACATCACTGTCCACTACCTGTCTGCCTGCCAGTCCAAATTCCAATACAGAGTCAAGAATGGGTTGACATTATTTATACAATTATTAAATTAATGCAGCAGTCTCCATAACAGTAAATCTTCTATTTTTTTGTGAATAAAAATTCCAAATGGAAAGCAAGAGTAACATAAGAGGGGCCTGGAACCATGAATAATGAACAGGGAAAATGTTATTTTAGTGCCGGGAATGTCAGCATTATTTATTCTGGACCCTATTTTGAAATTGGCATCTATTGAAATTTGTGTGAAATCGGAAAAATTGCCAATTTCTTACCACTATATTGGGTGGTTGAAATAAGTGAATGGGCGGTTTCTTGTACTCAGTTGACAGACTAGAAGTAAGTAAATAAGTAAGTTTATTCAGGTATACACAAATACAGTTACATAGATTATCATACATAGCAGTGCATGTATAGAGAACCTAGGATAACCCAAAAAAGTCAGACAAAGTGACTTACTTCCAGTACCTGGCTTGGGCTTGCTATATATGATTTTTGGTAAATATTTTTTTTCTCAGTTGTTTGTTGGGCTGTCTTATTGAAACTTGGGCAATGTATGATGGAAAGATGCTTCTTAACATACAACAAAAATAAAAAAAGACAATAAATGAGGGAGTTCACTTCTCAGCCACTAGCCGCCTCTTTGTGGTATATTTTCGCATGGTTTTTATGGTTGTATTCTCGTTTTTTTTTTTCTTATTTGATAGAATGGAAGATACATTACAGAAATAGACGTGATTTTGATTGCTTTCATGACAAAAAGTACCTTGAAATTGAGCTCAAATTAGTGGAAATGTTCAATTTTTGCCAATGTTCAATGAACTTTGTGTAAGTCAAGTTGGTTAATTTTATTAAGTGTATTCTAACCTAACCACTCTGTAATCTGCAAACTCAGTAATCCGGCACACTACAGGTCCCAATGATGCCGGATTTGTGATGGAGGACCTGTATGTGAACATTATTTATATAAAGGTAGGGAAGTTTACATTGCATATATGGATTTAGAAAAGGCATATGATAAGGTGGATAAGGAAAAAATGTGGCAGATGTTGCAAGTGTATGGAATAGGTAGCAAGCTACTAAATGCTGTAAAGAATTTTAATGAGGATATTGAGGCTCAGGTTAGGGTGTGTAGGAGAGAGGGAGATTACTTCCCAGTAAAAGTAGGTCTTAGACAGGGATGTGTAATGTCACCATGGTTGTTTAGCATATTTATAGATGGAGTTGTGAAAGAAGTAAATGCTTAGGTGTTGGGGAGAGGGGTGGATTAAGTTACTGGGAATCAAATAGAAAATGGGAGTTGACAGTTGCTTTTGTGCTTTTGGGCAATTCTAAAGAAAAGTTCCAAAGGTTAGTGGACGAGTTTGAGAGGGTGTGTAAAAGTAGAAAGTGAATATAGATTATGATAAGATGATGAGGATTTCAAATGATTTAGGTAAAGAAAAATTGGATAACACATTGGAGGGAGGGAGTATGGAAGAACTGAATGTTTTCAGATATTTGGGAGTTGACTTGTCAGCAGATGGATTTATGTAGGATGAAATTAACCATAGAATTGATGAAGGAAAAAAGGCGAGTGGTGCATTGAGGTATCTGTGGAGACAAGAAAAACGTTATCCATGGAGGCAAAGAAGGGAATGTGAGAGTGTGTAGTGGTACCAACACAATTATATGCATGTGAAGCATGGATTGTAGATGCTGTAGCAAGGAGAAGGCTGGAGGCAGTGGAAATGTTATGTCTAAGGGCAGTGTGTGGTGTAAATATTATGCAGAGAATTTGTAGTGTGGAAATTAGGAGGAGGTGTGTAATTACTAAAAGTATTAGTCATATGGCTGAAGAGAAGGTGTTGAGGTGGTTTGGTCATTTAGAGAGGATGGAACAAAGTAGAATGACTTCAAAAGTGTATAAATCTGTAGGGTAAGGAAGGTGGGATAGAAGTCTACCTAGGAAAGGTTGGAGGGAGCTGGTAAAGGTTTTGTAGGCAAAGGGCTTTTACTTCTAGAAAGTGCATGCATGAACATGTTAGATAAGACTGAATGGAGATGAATGGTTTTTGGGACCTTACGAGCTGTTAGAGTGTGAGTAGGGTAATATTTTGTGAAGGGATTCAGGAAAACTGGTTAGCTGGACTTTAGTCCTGGAGGTGGGAAATACAATGCCTGCACTTGAACCCTATCAGTGTCCGTGCCATATATTTACGGGTTTACGTTGAGGGTTCAAACCGTAGATCTACGCCATGAGCTCAGCTCACTCTGATAAGCTGTGAGTGGTAAATTTGGGTCTAGATATGAGAGAATACATCTATATGGTATGTGTGTACCACATAAAACGAATGCTGCAGCACACAGTGCATGAGAGAAAAAACTGAGACCGGAATTTTCGATTAAAACAGCAACTTTGCAGTGTTTTTTCATGTTTTTTATAGTTGTATTTGCAATTTCATGGTCTCATTTGATAGAATGGAAGATATATTATGGAAATAGAGATGATTTTGATTGGTTTTCGTTCTGAAAATGTCTTGAAACTGAGCTCAAAGTAGCAGAAATGTTTGATTTTTGCCGATGTTCAAGAGTAAACAAATGACCTCACACATCTAATACATGCCAGCTGGTGGGTCTAATGTACGTTTACAAATGTGGTGATATTATTTATACAATTATTACCATGTTGCATAACAGTAAATCTTCTATTTTTTGGTTTGAATAAAAATTCATTATGTGAATAAAAAATCAAAATGGAATTCATTTGTAAAGCCTGAACATGTAACTAATGAACAGAGGAAATGTTAGTTTAGTGCCAGGAATGCCTGCATTGTTTATTCTGGACCCTATTTTGAAACTGGAATACTTGGAACTTTGTATTGGCCAAATTACCTCTATCCGATCACTTTATTTTGTAGTTGGAACAGTTGACTCGGTGATTTCTTGTGCTCAGTCGATAGAATTGAAGTAATACTCATGAAATAGCTAAAATTTTGGTCGACTGGAATAAGATAATTGGCCTAAAATGGGAATCAATGTCGGTAAAATTGCCGATGCATAAATATCACTGACACGTCAAAATTTGTGAGAGTATAATTTAATAAATTTTCCATCAAATTTTGTACTTTTTGTTTTATTACCTTCAGAAAAAGATTCTCTATCATTTCATAAGAAAAAATTAGAAAATTATTTTTTGAAAATTCTTGGACACTGGTGTGCACTTTGAAATTTGGCCTCTGGACCCAGAAAGGGTTAAGGAGGGGTTTGGGATATTGGCTGTTTTTAGTGGCATCTGATTTGTCATATCTGAGTACTTCTGCCATGACAGTGATTATGTATGAATGATGGTGAAAGTGTTTAACCCTTTGGGGGCCGACAGGTCCTCTCAGAGACTTGTTCTCAGGGTCGGCTAAATTTAAAAAAAAAAAAAAGAAAATTCTTTCTGATGAAAAGATAGAGAATCTTTTCCCGATCATAATGACACCAAAAATATGAAATTTGATGGGAAACTTACGGAATTATGCTCTCGCGAAGTTAGCGGTCTCAACGATGTTTACGCATCGGCGATTTTGCCCACTTTGAGCCCTATTTTCCGCCAATTCCAGTGTACTAGCCGACAAAAATCATAACTATTTCACTAGAACTCCATTTTTTCTATTGAATGAGTACAAGAAACCACTCATTTACCAATTTCAACTATCCAATAAAGTGGTCAGAATTTAGCAATTTTGCCAATTTCACACAAATTTCAAAAGATGCTAATTTCCGAATAGGGTTCAGAATAAACAAGAAAGACATTCCTGGCACTAAAATAACAAGTTCTCTGTTCGTTAGTCACATCCCCAGGCCCCTCTTATATTTCTTTGGCTTTCCACTTTGAATTTTTATTCTTACAAAAAAAAAAAATAAGATTTACCATTATGCAGACTACTGCATTTGTAGAAATGGTATTAATAATATCAGCGCACTTGTGAAAGAACATTAGACTTGCCAGTTGTGTATTGGACGCTTGGCATGATTTGTTTACTTTTGAACTTTGGTGAAAATCGAACATTTCTGCTACTTTGAGCTCAATTTCAAGGTACTTTTCATTGTAAAACCAGTCAAAATCATCTCAATTTCTGTAATATGTCTTTCATTCTATAAAATGAGACAAAGAAAACAACAATAAATACCATACGAAAATACAGTGCGAAGTCGCTGTTTTATTCCAAAAACACGGTCAGTTTTTTTTTCTCATTACGCACTGTGCTGCAGGATTTTTTTATACTGCACACACTGACCACATAGACCCATTCTTTCATATGTAGGCCTACCAGCTTTCTCTCACTAGATTTGAGGGTGCTAAAATTTATGCTTACTAGAATGTCAAAAACCCTGGGTCGTAAGATGTACTAGTATGTCCGAAACCCCCAAAGGGTTAATGATGAAAGTTTTTTCTTTTTGATTGTTTCTTTTTGGGTCCCTCTCCCTCAGTGGGAAATGGCTAATGTGTTTAAAAAATATATGCATATTAATATTTGATCATGTTGCTTAAGAGACATGGCAAGAAAACTCAGTGCTTTTGGCCCCAGGATTGAAAAACAGTATTAATATTTTGTGTGCTTTAATTTTTCATATTTCTCTTGTATTTGTCTTAAGTACTTTTAGTATATGATTTGATCTTTTTTTTTTTATATCAAAGCACTGTTTCTGATACTTAGCAGCAGCAGCAGCAGCTTGATCCTATTAAGCAGCTGATGGGAGGTCTTGGTCGCATGAGTGTTACTCCTTCACCACAACCTCAAGACCAAGTTCTGCGTGATGCTCTCTTACGTCCTGATGTGCAGAATCTGTTGCAGAGTAAGTTTATCAGAGACATTTTTTCATATAATGAGGTATAACATTGGCATATCTGCCCATTAGTAAATAAATTGTATTGCTCCTCTATAGGATAAAGTGCAGCATTTTTAAAATTCAGTTACATAAAATAAAGTGGGTAGATTGAGAGTTAATGTTGAAGTACCTGGGACAAATGGAATTAGGATGGATATTGCCATCAGGTGGGGATATGTTAAAACAGTTTACCTGGAGAGGGTTTCGGGGGGTCAAACACCCCCCCGGGCGGCCTGGTCTGAGACCAGGTCTCATGGTGGATCAGGGTCTAATCAACTGGCTGGTTGGTATATTTCTTCTGTATATTGGTGTAAGGAAGGAAGGTACCCAAGGATTGGTGGAGAGCACATATAGTTCTTTTGTATACATAATGGGAAATGGGGACAAGAAAGAATGTAGGAATTATAGGGAATAAGTCTGTTTAGTATACCAGGTATATATATGTATGTATATTTTTTATAACGACAACTGTCTCCCACTAAGGCAGTGACCTTAAGAAAAAAAAAAACTCTCACTTTCACCCAAACAAAATCACTGTCTTTGCAGATTTGCTTAGACATGACAGTTTAGATATCATTCCAAACAGCCAATATCCCAAACACTTCCTTTAACCCTTTGACTGTTTCAGGGCCCTCTCTGAAACTGTCATTCTATGTCGCCAAATATTCGAAAAAAAAAAAAATTATTTTTTCTTATGAAAATGTTAGGAATATTTTTACTAGTGTTTTAAGCCTAAAAAAAATTTTTTGCCATCAGTACTTACCGAGATATAGAGCCGCAAAGTTTGCAGAAATTGACATGCGTACGGCAACAGCGGCGACTGCCGCCCACCCGGTATTCTTTTATTTACTCTAATTCAAAGGTTTCTTGCATTTTTCAATATTTTTTCTTTCCAGGTAACTTATGTTGGCCTGTGAGACCAATGTAAGGTGCATTGTTCAAATATACACTCATTATTTACAACACAATAACAGAACAAACTTATCACTATTAGTTTGTGTATACACTATGTTTACACAAACAAACAATACAAAACAATGTTTATTACTATTGTTCCATAATATATATACAATATGTTACAGTCACTAACCACGTTCCTAGAACTGCTGCAGCTTGTGGAACTCTTTGAAACATGGGTATATGCAGAGGGCACTTCACACTCCTCACACATAAAACGAGTGTCTCTGCGTGTTTGTGGGCGTTTTGTGGTATGCATACATACATAACACCTCTTCTGAGCATTTTTCTTGGCAGTAGTAGGAGGCAGTTGTATGGGGTAGTGATCACCAGGCCTCATACGAGATGACGACGTCTTGTGGGCGCTGTCTATTGCAGGAGTTGCTCCTTTGTACTTTGCAATTATTTGTCTGATTACTGACAGGCAAAATTCACCATATTTTGGTGTTTTGTTGGTCTTCAACTTGTATATGTTATAAGCATTTAGCATAGAGATATCAACAAGATGGAAAAAAAGTTGATATACCACTTATAACTCTGCGTACACAGTCTGCAAACCCAATCTGCATGTCACATTTGTCCACTAAGCGCATATTGAGGTTGTAGTCCATGACAGCGCAGGCTTTAGAATGGTTCATTGGTCTCTCTGTTGTCCCTGCCACTGGGTACCATTCGTTTGTGTGAACTGATGTCAACAATGTGACATCACGTTTGTCATGCCACCGAAATGCCATGATGTCATTGGCAGCAAAGGCTTGCACCTCACCTCTGCGAGTGCCAGCGTCGAACCTTGGCATAATGTTTGCGATTACCACGCACTGTGCCACACACGTCTGTCAAGTTCACTCGCAAGAAATCACTGAGTAAGGGGCTTGTGTACCAGTTATCAGTAAATAACATATGCCCCTTACCAAGATATGGTTCCATCATTGTTCGAACCACATCACCAGAGATACCCAATAACTTCATGTATCTCTCAAAGTATTTACTGCCAGTGTACACAATAATATCTAAAACAAGACCACTTCTGCAATCACACAGTACAAATAGCTTATACCAAAGCGTTTCCTCTTGCTTGGTATATATTGCTTGAATGAGAGTCTTCCTTTGAATAAAATCAAGGACTCATCAATAAACAAGCTTCCTGAAGGGATAAAAATACATGCAGCACTTTTGTTTCAGGTACATAAACACATTTCTTATCTTATAATAACCTGTCGCTTCTGTCAGGCCTGGTTTTGTCTGAAAAGTGTAACATACGCAACAGTAATCAGGAACGATTGACACCTATAATGTCACTAAAACCGGAGTTGAAATCAGGCGATCTGTTGTCCAGTAATTGTGGTGACAGTGTGCTTATACACATGTGGCATAAGCATTATTGTGGCAAAAAACAGGTACATCTCTGCCACAGTTTGCTCCTTCCACTTGTGTAGCCGTGATTTTGTGAGAGAATTGTATTTGCCATGGTGTAATCACAGTATGTATTTGTTTCCCTGACAATGATGTCCATCAGGGTTCATCGAAAAATAACTCAAAGCAGTCCAGTTCACTGGCATTGTTCCCAAGTGGACAAGATGGCTTTATTCCACTTTGTGTTTCATCAAAGTCATGGGGACTGGGAACAAACTCGTCACCGTCCTGCCAATCCCAGATGCGGTCAGCTGGTGGGGTCTGGATATTGTACCGTGGTTGTGGCTGTGCAGGTTGTGGTGGTGCAGGTTGTGGCAGTGTGGGGTAGGGTGAGGCTGGTTGTTCTGCTGAGTCAGCCACGTGGCTAGTAGCGTGGCCCGGTGATGGTGCCACATGGGCCGTGCCACCCTCACTATCACCACCACTGCCTCCTCCCTCACTGTCACCATTCATACCCATCGTTACAATATCGTCATCTTCACTATCAGGGTCGTGGTGTTGGGCCACGGGATGTGCTCCCAGAGTTTCTCCTTCCCCTTGGAACAACATATGAAACACTACCAGACCGCATGCTACGTCGTACATACTGGCGCTTCACTGGGGAATATTCACTCTCACTGTCACTAGAACTGCTTCACAATGACCTTGAAATCACTATCACTATCACTGCTATCATGAGGGTGTTGTACACGACCAAATAGTTTCCTCTTTCGTCCTGGTACAGGCGAACGTGAACGTGAACAAGCCGGCACAGCACCAGAGGTCGAAGGTTGTGGGTCATCTGGGTTTTCGTCACTATTTACGTTATCCTGGGCACTTTTTTCGGTAACACTCACTTGAAACCCTTGAATTCACTGTCACTGACACTTTCATCGCTGTTAGAGCTATCACTTGGGAACAAAAGACCTCCAATCCGCCGAGGAGTGAGGAACTTCTTACCGAGAGGCATGGTGAAAATGGACTGACAACATGGCGTTCCCACAATGCACCGCTAGGTCCCAGATTTTTTTCACAGGGTGCACACCGACCACTGAGACCCATTCTCTCCCGTGTAGGCCTACCAGGCCTTTGGCGCTCGATTTGAAGCCGCTAGAATTTGTGCGTATAAATATGTCAGAAACATTGGCTCGTAAGACGTATTTATACGTCGGAAACAGTCAAAGGGTTAAAGTGCAAGCAGTGTACGTCCCACCTCCAAGACTCAAAGTCCGGCTAACTGGTTTCCCTGAATCCCTTCACAAAATATTACCCTGCTAACACTCCAACAGCTTGTCAGGTCCCAAAAACCATTTGTCGTCATTCACTCCTATCTAGTTTTGGAGTGGTTGGTGCTTTTGTTCAATAAATATATGAAAGAGGGGAAGGTACCTAAGGATTGGCAGAGAGCTTGTATAGTTCCTTTATAAAACAGGTAAGGGGGGGCAGAAGAGGCTAAAAATTATAGGATCGTTTATGGTAGGGTTATTATTGAAAGAATTAAAGGTAGGACAGAGAGCAGGATTGCAGATGAACAAGGAGGGTTTAGAATGGGTAGGGGATGTGTAGATCAGGTGTTTACATTGGAGCATGTAAGTGAACAGTGTTTAGATAAGATGATGGTAGGAAAATTTTCATTGCATTTATGGATTTAGAAAAGGCATATAGTATACAATAGGGTGGATAAGGGAGCAGTGTGGCAGATGTTTCAAGTATATGGAATAAGTAGTCGGTTAACTAAATGCTGTAAAGAGGTTTTATGAGGATAGTGAGGCTCAGGTTAGCATGTATAGGAGAGAGAGAGAGTTCTTTCCAGTAAAAGTAGGCCTTAGGTAGGCAGGGTGGCCTGAAAAAAGAAAAACTTTCATCATTCACTCCATTATTGTCTTGCCAGAGGCATGCCTACACTACAGTAATAAAACTGCAACATTAGCACCTCTCCTTCAGAGTGCAGACACTGTACTTCCCATCTCCAGGACTCGAGTCCGGCCTGCCAGTTTCCCTGAATCCCTTCATAAATGTTACCTTGCTTACACTCCAACAGCACGTCAAGTCCTAAAAACCATTTGTCTCCATTCGCTCCAGTCTAACACGCTCACGCACTCTTGCTGGAAGTCCAAGCCCCTCACACACACAACCTCCTTTACCCCCTCCCTCGAGGCTTTCCTAGGCCGACCTCTATCCTGCCTTCCCTCCACTACAGATTTGTATACTGTTGAAGTCATTCTATTTCTGACATATTTATAGATGGAGTTGTAAAAGAAGTAAATGCTAAGGTATTCGGGAAAGGGGTGGGATTAAATTATGGGGAATCACATACAAAATGGGAGTTGACAGTTACTTTTTGCTGATGATACTGTGCATTTAGGAGATTCTAAAGAGAAGTTGCAAAAGGTTAGTCGACAAGTTTGGGAGGGTGTGTAAAGGAAGGAAATTGAAAGTGAACATGGATAAGAGTAAGGTGATGAGGATGTGACATGAGTTAGATAAATAAAAAATGGATATCAGATTGGAGGGAGTATAGAAGATATTTGGGAGTAGACTTGTCAGCAGATGGGTTTATGAAGGACAAGGTTAACCATAGAATCGATGAAGAAAAAAAGGTGTGTGGTACATTGAGGTATTTGTGGACAAAAAATGTTTACCCTTGGAAGAAAAGAAGGGAATGTATGAGAGTATAGTGATACCAACACACTTATATGGGTGTGAAGCATGGGTTGTAATTGCTGCAGCAAGGAGAAGGCTGGAGGCAGTGGAGATGTCATGTCTGAGAGCAATGTGTGGCGCAAATATTATGCAGAGACTTTGTAGTGTGGAAATTAGGAATAGGTGGTGTTGAGTTACTATTATTCAGAGGGCTGAAGAGGGATTATTGAGGTGGTTTGGTCATTTAGAGAGGAAGCAAAATAGGAAGACTTGGAGGGCGTATAAATCTGTAATAGAGGGTTAGGGGTCGTCCTAGGAAAAGGATGGAGGGAGGGGGTAAAACAGGTTTTGTGTGCAATTGGTTTGGACATGCAGCAGGCATGTGAGAGCATGTTAGGTGGGAGTGAATGGAGATGAATAATTTTTGGGACCTGACGAGATGTTGGAGTGTGAGCAGGGTAATATTTTGTGAAGGGATTCAGGGAAACCATTTAGCAGGACTTGAGTTTGGAGGTGGGAAGTACAGTGCCTACACTTTAAACGAGTGGTTTGGATATTGGCTGTTTGGAGTGACATCTAAACTGTCATATCTGAGCGCCTCTGCAGAGATAGTGATTGTGTGAATGATGGTGAAAGTGTTTGTTTTTTGGATCACCGGCCCCAGTGGGAGATGGCTGTTGTGCTTATAGAAAAAAATTTAGATTCCAGTTATTTATACATGTGGTTGTCAATGGTGATGAAATATGACTTATTGCATTAAGTAAATGTTTCATAACAAAGTTTTAGATGATGATTTTTTTTTTTTTACAAGTAAATAGGAATGTTATTAATGTGAAATGTACAAAGTATATACTTTGTTTGTTTACTCAGGGGTAGCTAGTGGTCATGTTACAGCTGGCCAGTTGCTAAACCAACTTAAGAGTGGGACAGTCACCCCTACTCAACGAGATGCAATTTCTACAGTCCTGAAATTTCTTAAGGGACAGCATTCACAACCTCTCATTCCACACCGCACGACCCTCACTCCTTCTCCAACTCCTCAGGTAAGCTGCCTTCATGTGGTACTTTTAACAGTGATGAAGCACAGTAAAAGCTGCTGTTTACTTAGTTTCATAAACAACCTTAGGGTGTTTTGAAAATAGGTTGGACAAATATATTAGTAAGAAAGATTTGATTTGAGATGGATGTCTTTCACATGAATTGGTAAGCCTACTGCAGTGCTCCTTCATTCTTAAGTTCTTATATACTTTTTTGGTATTTTGATTATTCTTGCTTATTTATTTGGTAGTATTCACTTATAAGACGGGGTATAACTGAGCAAATTTAACCCTTAAACTGTCCAAACAGATCTACATTCACATGCGTAGTGCTCCAAAAGTAGGTCTATGTTTTTTACATATTTTCAGATATAACAAAGAAAAAAGTATATAAGTTTTTTACATGTTTTCAAATGTAAAAAAAAAAAGTCTACATTTTTTTTACATACTACTTTCAAATGTTGAAAAAATGTAGATCTACGTTTGGACAGTTTAAGGGTTAAAAAAAAAAAAAACAATTTTTTTTTCAACAAGTCGGCTGTCTCCCACCAAGGCAGGGCACTGTCAAGAAATTTTAATGAAAATAAGAAAAAAACAAAAAGCAAAAGATTGTACAGCCTCTCCTCACTTAGCAACATAATCGTAACTGATGCCTCGGACTTATAACGGGCTCTCTGACCAGTATTTATACCAAAATAATGTATATTATAGCTGATTTCCTCTATTCTGTTTCTTTAATAACAAAGAAAGGGCACAGTACCGTGACTGGAACAATACACACACAATCCAACACCATCGGCAATTGCTGAGGAATTCACAGATCAGTTAAGTAAGATAGATAGCTATCTGGATAGGCTAGAAAGTCCTACACCAAATATTTTACTCCTTGGAGATTTTAATATCCCTCATGTAAAATGGAAGATGGCATAACGTAATGTTATACCAGAAATATCCCCGGGCAGCACCCTGGCTCAACAGGTACATACCAGGGAAATAATGAAGTTTTGTGAAAAGTACTCTTTAAACCAACAGGTAATTGATTCCACTAGAAATGAAAATACCCTGGATTTGATATTAACAAACAACGAGGAACTGATCAGAGACATAACATTTTCCAAAACTATTTACTCTGATCATAACATCATAGAGGTTCAAACTAGTACAGTGGACCCCCGGTTCACAATATTAATCTGTTCCTGAGAGCTCATCGTAAACCAAAATTATGGGAAAGCGAATCAATTTTCCCCATAAGAAATAATGGAAATCAAATTAATCCGTGCAAGACACCCAAAAGTATGAAAAAAAACTTTTACCACATGAAATATAAAGTTTAATGCAATAGAATAATTACAACAACAACAATAGCAATAGAATAATAACAATAGAATAATTGACACTTACCTTTAGTGAAGATCTGGTGATGATTGATGGGATGGGAGGAGGGGAGAGTGTTGAACCTATTGTTTAGAAGGGGAATCCCCCTCCATTAGGACTTAAGGTAGCAAGTCTTAATGAGTAATGTAGGTCCTGCTTGGCAATTTCTTCCAAAACAGGCCTGTTTCGTCACAATTAAACACTTGTTCAGGTTTCAATCCTTCAGCCTCTATGTACTCCTTGAATTTATGCAGCTGGAACTGATGGGATCATGACAGAAATGTTAAAAGCAGGGGGAGATATAGTGTTGGAGTGGTTGGTACTTTTGTTTAATAAATGTATGAAAGAGGGGAAGGTACCTACGGATTGGCGGAGAGCATGTATAGTCCCTTTATATAAAGGGAAAGGGGACAAAAGAGACTGTAAAAATTATAGAGGAATAAGTTTACTGAGTATACCAGGAAAAGTGTACGGTAGGGTTATAATTGAAAGAATTAGAGGTAAGACAGAATGTAGGATTGTGGATGAGCAAGGAGGTTTGAGAGTGGGTAGGGGATGTGTAGATCAAGTGTTTACATTGAAGCATATATGTGAACAGTATTTAGATAAAGGTAGGGAAGTTTTTATTGCATTTATGGATTTAGAAAAGGCATATGATAGAGTGGATAGAGGAGCAATGTGGCAGATGTTGCAAGTATATGGAATAGGTGGTAAGTTATTAAATGCTGTAAAGAGTTTTTATGAGGATAGTGAGGCTCAGGTTAGGGTGTGTAGAAGAGAGGAAGACTACTTCGCGGTAAAAGTAGGTCTTAGACAGGGATGTGTAATGTCACCATGGTTGTTTAATATATTTATAGATGGGGTTGTAAAGGAAGTAAATGCTAGGGTGTTCGGGAGAGGGGTGGGATTAAATTTTGGGGAATCAAATTCAAAATGGGAATTACACAGTTACTTTTTGCTGATGATACTGTGCTTATGGGAGATTCTAAAGAAAAATTGCAAAGGTTAGTGGATGAGTTTGGGAATGTGTGTAAAGGTAGAAAGTTGAAAGTGAACATAGAAAAGAGTAAGGTGATGAGGGTGCCAAATGATTTAGATAAAGAAAAATTGGATATCAAATTGGGGAGGAGGAGTATGGAAGAAGTGAATGTTTTCAGATACTTGGGAGTTGACGTGTCGGCGGATGGATTTATGAAGGATGAGGTTAATCATAGAATTGATGAGGGAAAAAAGGTGAGTGGTGCGTTGAGGTATATGTGGAGTCAAAAAACGTTATCTATGGAGGCAAAGAAGGGAATGTATGAAAGTATAGTAGTACCAACACTCTTATATGGGTGTGAAGCTTGGGTGGTAAATGCAGCAGCGAGGAGACAGTTGGAGGCAGTGGAGATGTCCTGTCTAAGGGCGATGTGTGGTGTAAATATTATGCAGAAAATTCGGAGTGTGGAAATTAGGAAAAGGTGTGGAGCTAATAAAAGTATTAGTCAGAGGGCAGAAGAGGGGTTGTTGAGGTGGTTTGGTCATTTAGAGAGAATGTATCAAAGTAGAATGACATGGAAAGCATATAAATCTATAGGGGAAGGAAGGCGGGGTAGGGGTCGTCCTCGAAAGGGTTGGAGAGAGGGGGTAAAGGAGGTTTTGTGGGCAAGGGGCTTGGACTTCCAGCAAGTGTGAGTGAGCGTGTTAGATAGGAGTGAATGGAGACGAATGGTACTTGGGACCTGACGATCTGTTGGAGTGTGAGCAGGGTAATATTTAGTGAAGGGATTCAGGGAAACCGGTTATTTTCATATAGTCGGACATGAGTCCTGGAAATGGGAAGTACAATGCCTGCACTTTAAAGGAGGGGTTTTGGAATATTGGCAGTTTGGAGGGATATGTTGTGTATCTTTATATGTGTATGCTTCTAAACTGTTGTATTCTGAGCACCTCTGCAAAAACAGTGATAATGTGCGAGTGTGGTGAAAGTGTTGAATGATGATGAAAGTATTTTCTTTTTGGGGATTTTCTTTCTTTTTTGGGTCACCCTGCCTCGGTGGGAGACGGCCAACTTGTTGGGAAAAAAAAAAAATTCAGCTGCTTTGTGGTCTGAACTGGCAGCCTCACCATGCCTAATCACACTATGTATGCCACTACGATTCTTAAATCTTTCAAACCAACCTTTGCTGGCCTTAAATTCACTCACAACACTACTAGTTGCAGGCAATTTCTTCACCAAATCGTCATGCAACTGTCTAGCCTTTTCACAAATGATCGCTTGTGAGTTTTTTATCTCCTGCTATCTGTTTTTCATTTATCCACACCAATAACAGTCCCTCAACATTTTCTAACACTTGCGGTCGCTGTTTCGTAATCACAGTTGCACCTTTTGCAAGAACAGCTTACTTGATTGGCATTTTCCTGCTCACTATAGTAGAGATGGTTGATTGGGGTTTACTATACAACCTGACCAGCTCCGACAAACGCACTCCACTTTCGTACTTTGCAATTATCTCTTCCTTCATTTCAATAGTCATTAGCACCCTTTGTCTCGAAGAGTTGGCACTAGAAGCTTTCTTGGGGCCCATGGTGACTTATTTTGCAGAAACAAGCACCAAAAACAGTGATAATATGGATAATATGGAATGTACCGAATGTATCCTTAGATGCGCGCACACTGTCTGGCTTGTAAACACTGGCACACATGGTTCAGTTCAGGCCACACGTGGACACGTCTCGTACGAATCGTATCGCATACCGGGTTTTGTAACTGGAACCGAGGCAAATTTTCTGCGATATAATGCATCGGATACTGATAGCATCGCGAACCGGGGGTCCACTGTATTAACTCGGGTAGGAGACTGCATCACTAAAGTTAGAGACGTAATGTTCAGTCAGTTTAATTTTAACAACCATAGAATTAACTGGGAAAAAATAAACCAAGAGCTATCAGACATACCCTGGGAATCAGACATGAGCACCCTAAATCCCCACCAGTGGCTAGAGAAGCTGAATACAGAAGCATACAAAGTATGTATGAAACATGTACCATTGAGGAAACCCGGAGGAAGATCAGATATAGAGAGAGAGCGTAGGAGATAGTACAGAAGAAGAAAACGGGTTACTGAACTGCTTAAAAACACAAATATGCTACAACAGAGGAAAGATAGACTTAGCAGAGAGATCACTGAATTAGAGCAAAAATTTAGGATGTCATACCTCACAGAAGGGAACAAAAGGCCATACAGGATATTGCAAGAAACCCAAAATGTTTCTATTCCTACGCAAAATCCAAGCTAAGAACTACCTGTAGAATTGGACCACTACTGAGAGGAGACTCGTATACTGATGATGAACAGGAAACGAGTGAAATCCTAAAAGAACAGTATGAGTCGATGTTCAGCAACCCACTAAATGACAGCAAGGTAGAAAATGCAGAAATATTTTTCACTCCAGAAGAAGGCCGCACAGACCAGCTAACTGACATTAGTACAAGTCCCATAGATTTCAAAAAAGAAATGGAAAACATGCCCACTCACTCAGCACCTGGACCAGATTCATGGAATGCTCTATTTATAAAGAAGTGCAAAGTACCACTAGCACGAGCCCTCAGTATTCTTTGGAGAAAGAGCTTAGATCTAGGTGAAATACCA